CATTGCCGCCAAAGTAGTTGCTGCGGCGGTCGGGCGCCAGGGCCACGGCCTCAATGGACCAAGTGCAATGTCGCTGGACGATTTCGAGGTGAATGTGCTATTCCTCGCTTATGCTTATCCACACAGTGGTCCATTACCGTCCACTTTTATGTCACTTGTGTTTCCATTGAGTTTGGATTTCAAGCCCGAGAGGCATATCGTGCCTTGAGTCTGTTTACTTTGTGAAGGATAATACAACTGCTGTGTCCTTTTTAAGTCTTTGCCAAGTTCAGGTTTATACGATTTTTTTCAAAATCAAATGTCTTCTGTCAGAGGAAAGTCAGTTGGTCAGTCAGCATATTTGGATTAACTGACAGAAGCCCTTAAAAAACTCAACCGAAACAGTACAAGACTGCATAAATGATAGTGAAGATGTAAATCGTATTACAGATCCCCTTAGTATATGAAAATGCATAATTTTTTGATGAAACCAAGGGTTAATAGGTGATGCATTTGCGAAATAGCAGCGTGCAGCGCGTTCACCTTGTGAATTTGAACAACTTTATTGTAAACAAAAGGTCTATTGAAATCAAGCGAGTAGTATGTTTATAGTCATGCGCGTTATTTTTTAAATAAGGGTTTAAAAGGTGTGTGACTACCGTAGGTAAATGCCCTCCACATATGTTTCTCAATGCTCCACCTAACTAACTTTACGTCAATTGCGTCACCTAAATTAACCAAATCTGTCAAACCTAAATAATTTACGTCATGTCGTTGAGTTCAGCGTTTTTTGCACCCGTTTTGATAGAATTTCAATTCAACTCTGGGATTCCCGTTACCTCCGCGTGTCCTTCTCTCCAACTTGGACCTACTCATTGGCGATCCCAACGAATCCCTACCGGGCACAAACCAGGACTTTCTCTCGTTTGCGGCTGAATTGGATCTGACTAACTTAGCGACCGCCTTGTCAAGCGTGAGCGAGTGTCTAGATGAAACCCACTCCATTACAAACAAGGGCCCCTTTTGTACCCCCAAGACAGGTCAACCCGAAGGAACGGCGCTTGGGATGTGGCGAGAACCAACCCCCGTTGTAGTTTCCCTCTTCTCCGTACTGGGTCACCTCTCTGGAGTGTGTCCGGCTGCTATTGTCCCTCTGATGGATGATCTGTTGCCTATCCTCACGTGCATGCTGCAGGACTCCACGTGCTATGCTAAGCGTTCTGTAGGTTGCATTACTTATTTTCGCATGTTATCATGTTACTAAAATCATTTCAGTATATGTGTAATATATACGCGATTTAGTCACCTTTCTGTGGCTTTACGAAGGGCAGTTTGGTGTGAAATTCCTTTTAACATACCACAAATGATTTCCGGTTTTCACGCCCTCAAGACCTAGAAAACCGAGCATCTGGATCTCACATCAATCCAACTACTCCAAACACCTTTCTGTAAACGTATAACTGCGCGATACTTTCCACAACAAGAGCTTGCTTTGCAACGGAACTACTGTGCACGACAAACCTCTGCTGCGAAAGACTGTGGGTTTTAGTTACAAACATAAGAAATTTTGATTGAAAATTAAAGCAGGGTCTGCGACCACATGCTATTTTGTGCTCGTAAGAATTGCTGTCAGCTTTTTTGCATGAAAGCAGTTTTACCTGGTCTCATTTTAGATTGCCGCCTGGACTTTGAGCGTCATGACCACAAATACCGGCTTTGTGGTCCTTCCCTACCTGAAACATCCAGACCTGCTTGACCTACTGTTTGGTTTGCTGAAACGTGAAGAGTCCAAGAACATCCAGGCTGAGGTTAGTAGTTGTGTTACTTTTGTTTGTCGAACCCATGTGCCATTACAACGGAAATGCCCACCTGTTGCTCCCAAATTACCTCTCATTGTCAGCCTTTAACAGTCTGTCTGTTTACCAAGAGGCAGATGTTTCTTACGTTGACGCGGAGTTCAACCGGGTTTGTTTCTCCATGGCTTGCTGCCCGGGTATGGCTACCTGATGATGGTTATAACTTAGAAACGGCAGTCGCTCGTATCTTGCCAATGACAACTGTCAATCTTTGACTATTTGCGTGGCGACTGCCTGCAAGGGCTTGGAGATAACTCCCTGATAAAACCACTCATATAGGACCGGATATTCGCCACTACAGTTGGCAGAACGTTAGGCCATGACTGAGTGGTAGAGTTCTTGGTCAATGTTCTTTGTCCAAACACCGAGTCTTCCCGACCGCTAGTTGGTTTGTGGCTGCATAATGACTATAAATATGTCAAACGGCGTCATTCCAGTCTTCCATGCTATCTCCATACCATTTCTCGGGATTCCTATTACAAGTCATCCTCACTGAAGTGCCTCTACCTCAACCGGTTCACCGTGCTCTATTTAGTCCTTAGGCGTCATTTTTCAGAGGCCATGTTCAAGGCTACTTTCCTTCCTTCCATCCTAATTGGATGATTCCTCTGCCACCGCTTCTCACTATCTCTGCGATGGAAAGCATAACCTTCGTATACATTTGACCACTGATTACAATTGAGATATGACGTTCATAGTTTCTGTTTACCATGGTTGATATGGGGTATACAGTGACTTTGCCGAAAATGACGAAACATTACTAATCAGTCCAGAACCGGCACAACTGTATCGAGCGAAACCCAGAATTAATAATGAGCGACTTTATGTGGATTGAAAACATGAAAGGAATATTACTGAGTAAGCTTGTAGTGGCTAAGACGTGGATGTGCTTACTGCACTACAATCATCAGATCGAATCCCAAGTTGAAATGTTGTCTTCCCGGAAGAAATTTGAACAAGGCGAAGATCACGAGTTGAGCAAAATTTAAGGACGTCATAAATTTCGTGACCTCTCGATCAGCTGCGAATGGTCGTTGCCTATTAAGAAGAGAATTAACTGTGCAATTAAGGGTCAGCCTCGAAGGGTGAAACTTGATAGGTAAAGGGAGTAGAAACAATTAGT